TTTGATGGATGCTGGAATGCATACTTCAATCTTCATGCTTATATAGAAAACACTCTTTATGGCTGAACAATGTCTTTATCCTTGATCTGTTATTTTAAGTAAACATATTATAATAAAATCATAATTTAATAAATAAATAAAATTCACTATTTATTATTAATTATCACAATAATTAATGAATAATTTTATTACAATAAAATTTATTTATTATTTACCATTAATCATTATTTATTACCAATAATTATTGATTATTATTTGTATTATTTATTATAAAATTTAATTATTATTACATTATCATTCAAATAAAGAGCAAATGTCATAAAACATTGAATGTTGAGAATATAGCTTGGTAGCTCAGTGTTAGAGTTGTTGCCTTTTAAGTATGATTAAATTCAATTTCCAGACCACAAAATATTAGATAATACTAATACATAGCTAAAGAAATATTACATTTAATGAACACACTTATATACAAAGAAACAAAGAGAGAGGGAGGGAGAGAAGGAGTTAGGAATTAGGGAGGGAGAAAAGGAGGGAGAGAAAGTGGTGGGGAGAGAGGAAAGCACGCCATTTCACATATATTCCTGAAATATAGGACTATTAATGATTATTGGCAGATTAACTTGATACTATATCAACATTTTGCTTATGTTTGTGAATCTGATGGAATGTAGCCGTTAAGAAAGGTACTATCTACCAAGCTATTGAGTGTTATAGCAGAATGCCTACCTAGTTTTAAAGCAAGAAAATTTAAAAAGATAAAAAGAAGTTTGTTTTAGAAACATCCAGCACTGATATTAAGAAAAGTTTATCTACATAGAAACCAAGGGCACACAAACACATTTTTCAAGAGTTCAGCTACATTATTTCAAAATATCAACTACACAACAATCAAATACTGTTCTAGACACTACTAACAAAAAATGTGAATAAAGACTAGCATTGACATTAGTAACAGGATGCCAGATATATTTTTTTTAAAGTCCAAGGCTGTGGACCTTGACTTTTACACGAAAAGATAATAGGTTCTCAGGGAAGTTCTTTTGGCTAAGAAAGGCGGGACTCAGTCCACACAGAAAGGCTCACTGGACTGCATACTGGGTAAAAGAATTTCTTGAGAGGAGGTATCAGAATTTCTTGAGAGGAGATCTCAGAATTCCTTGAGTGGGGGATCTCATCCTGCTTTCCTCTAACGGTTGAGGCAGTGCTTTCTGGGACAGGCATTTCTGTCAGCACCCTTCACAGTACCATGGTAAGTCTTTCAGGGAAATAGAAGACCTCATGAAGGTAAGGAATAGAGGCTATATTAAGAAAAATAGAAATACTTTGAGCCTCTGACCTAAAGGATATCAAAATCCCACAGAAATCTATATAGCTATTTCTGAATCTCTTATAAACTTGTCAAATAAGGGCTGCCTCTTGGTCTCATATTGGTGATCTTAGTGTAAAGAAGGTATTGGTTTGAAGGGTGTGGGTCTCCGGAGGACAAAAAGATAAAGGGTGCCAGGAATTAAGGACACTTAAGAATAAAGGGTATTTTTTAAAAATTGTCACTGTGTTTATTAATAATGGCATATTAATAAAAGATTAAAGTTCTGCTCTAAGGAAAGAGTTAACAGTTTTGACATATAAAATTGTTATTTTAAAAAAGAATTAAGATGGGTGGGATTGGGAGGGAAAGAGGGGGCATGATACAGCAAGGATACAAAGTTAACAAACTGTAACTAATATTAAAAAATGCAAAAATAAAAAAGAATATATATATATAATTACCCTAGCAATTGCTAGAGGAAAGTAAACTCCGTTTGGTAGAGTTGTTCAGGTATTGCTTTAAAACCTATCACTCAGTCTCAAGTGGACATGTTTTGCAATGTAGCTTTTTTTTTAATCACCCATATTCCTATAAGTAATTCCTAATAAAATCATTGATTCAGGAAAAAAAAAAGATACAAAATAATATGGTTCCTTTCATGCTTTCAGATTTTATGTTGAAGAACCCTTTTGCCCCACCACTCTGCTTATATGTTTGTATGCTTTTATCCCCGGTATTTCGTGTGCATTGGTGTTTAGTCTGCATGTATGTCTGGGTGAGGATGTCAGCTCTTGGAGTTACCGACAGGTGTGAGCTGCCATGTGGTTGCAGGGAATCCAACTCAGGTCATCTGGAAGAATGCTCGATGTTCTTAACTGCTGCGCCATCTCTCCAGCCCTGTTGTCATCTTTCTTATTACCTCTTTTTTTTTTTTCACTCATCTAGATGGGCCCTCATCTAGTTCAATAACATATTCCACCATAATTAAACTTAATGTGAGAAAGACTGTTGTGCCTCGCGATTTCCGTTAAAAGGAAGTGGATGTGACGTACACTGACTTCCTGTTTGGATATCTGAAGCCGGTGAAGACTCAGAGCGGAGCGCACCGCGGACATCTTCAGCAGACAGAGGAATTTCAGGCCCTGAAGATTGCAGGCTTAAAGGTGAGGAGATAGGAAAAGTTATAGGTACATTTGAAATGTGAACGCTTCCTCACAATTAGAATGGCCTTCTCTGCCCGTCACCATGCCTCCATTGCCAACCCCGGTGGTGAAAACGGGATGCTGCGGTGATCTGGTTTATGGCGACCTCCATTTTGGAATCGAAGGTGCGGTCTCTCTGACAGAGTTTTATCCTGGTCCTTAGAGGGAAAGTGGCTTTCCAGGCAAGGCCGGGTGGACATCAAAGTGAGACAATGTTGTAGAGTCTCAGAGACCTCCCTGACAGAACGTAGCTTCTCGAAACGCAGCCTTGTGGCGGGCCCTCAGAAATTGCAGCGCCATGGCCCTCAAACCGCTAGACATCCATGTTAGTGTCTCATGGAAGGCATCTGTAATACGTAGGACCCTCACAAATACCCTCTGCTGAGATGTGGAAGTAAGCACAAGCTCCTGTCCCCAACAAGAAGTTTTCTCCCGTTAACTATTTCTTGCAAAAATTCGTTTCTCCCAGGGAGTTTTCCTGGGTATCCAAACCATACTTAAGGGGCAGGCCCCCTGCCTAGCAGTAGATGGCCAACACAAAACAAACTCAGAGGTATTGCTGGGGATTATTTTGTCTTGTAATTTTTTATTTTGTTTGTCTGTTTATTTTTTCACCTTAACTGGTCTTTTCCTTGTACGTAATGGTTTTGTTTGCGGTTTTGTTTTCTGTTTTGTTTTCTTTTTTGAGACAGGGTTTCTTTCTGTAACTCTGGCTGTCCTGGAACTATTTTGACTAGGATGACCTCAGAACTCAGATTTGTCTGCATCTGCCGCCCCAGTGGTGGGATCAAAAGAGTACATCATCACTGCCAGGCCTGAGTTAGTTTTTATGGCTTTGACCTGTGTGTGTGTATGTATGTATGTATGGGTATGTGTGCCTATGAGCACACACGTCCATGTATATGCATACATACATATGTGTGCACATTTGTGCTTACACTTGTTCATTAATGCATATATATACATGCACTTTCCTGGATGTTTACCTGTATGCTAGCACATGCGCATCTTACATTTCTCATTCTCTTAGTTATTATTTTTTTCATTTAATTTTGTCCTTGTTTATCTTTTATTTGCCTTTTGTAAAAAAATATTTACTTATTTTTATGTGCATTGACATTTTGCCTCCATGTCTGTACAAGGGTACCAGATCCCCTGGAACTGTAATTACAAACAGTTGTGAGCTGGCATGTGGGTGCTGGGAGTTGAACTTGGGTCCTCTGGAAGAGGACGCTTAATAACTCTTAAGAGCTGAGAATTTCTCCAGCCTTTCTTCTTCCTTCGTTTGTTTGTCTGGTTGGTTTTGGTTTTTCGAGACATGCTTTCTCAGTGTAGCCTTGGCTGTTCAGGAACCCTTTTGTTTTCTTAAGAGACAGCAAAAGAAGGCTTAGTGTTAAGAGTGTGGTTAAGTTTGGAAGATCTGGCAGGAGATGAGGGAAATGAAATCATGATCAAAATATATTGTATGAAAATAACTATTTTTGGTTAAAAAATAAAATAAAAATAGAAAACTACTCTTCTACTATTAACCTGAGAAGGCCCCAGACAGATATGTCTGTATGAGAATCCTTCATTTCTAGGTTTTGGGGGACTTCACAAAGGTGAAAGTTGTTCATATGTTGGGTATTTTGTTTTAATTTTTACATGGGAGAAGTCTGAGATGGCAAAATTCAGGTTACCAGAGGGGAAGACACCAGGAGGACCAGTGGACCTCTAATTCAAGTGCATAACGGATTGTTCTGCTGCTGCTGCTGCAAAGGTCTAAAAGATACTGAGAAGGAGTCACCTTTTAACCTTTATCTTACTGGTCTTAGAGAGGTCAGAGCATTGTGTTAAGTCAGCAGAAGTGGTTATCCAAGGAAGAAGACTTAAATTATGTTAGCCAGTGTAACAGCTCTGAATGAAGATAGATGGGATCCCCATACTTCTAGAGATTTAGTGCCCCTGCCCTGAGAGACCTTACTTTCTGATTTACTGATTTGTTGTGCTAGCTTTCTCCTTTGCAGTGCCAAAGGACTAAAAGAAGTTTATTAAACAGAGGTGTATCAGGCCTTGCCAGAATTAATTAGAGGATAGAGGGAGGGCCCCTTTCATAGGAACAGCCTGGTCTGTGATTACTGCTATTAAGAATGTCTATCAATTCCATAACTGTATGGATCTCGTAAAGTCTACTATCTAGCAGTCAGCCCTGGAAATAGGACCCACATCTGTGCTTATAGTCTGTGACCTGAGCCCCTCCCATAGAATTGCTCATATGGAGGCTCCAAGAACAAAGGGCATGGCTATTAAACTGATTTTTATGCAGAAGCCATAGAGCAGAAGAGAGTTCATAGGATTCAGGCCCATGATACCTAAGATAGCTACCTAAGATAACTATTAAAAAAGCTTTGTCAGTGCTGACAGAGTTACAGAATGTTTACATTCTTTCTCTCACCTTCAGGCCACTCTCCACCAAATTTCTCCTGCCAGTCATTTGAGAAATTATAATGTCCCACATGCAGAAGCATGAGCAAGGCCTTGAAGGCCAGCTGGGGAAGGAAGTTCTTACAGCTATGGAGATGTGTACCACAGGGGAGGTACTTGCTGCTGGGGATTCCCAGGAAATATGTTCATCATTTGCTTCCATCCAAGCCATTCCATCAAGCAAAGCAATTGAAGAAGGTTCTGGTGATCATGGAGAGGGTGATCAAAGCCCCTCAAAGGCATACCTATATTCTAAGGTTTTGCTCAGTAGTGCACTTCAGAAGAAGGTGAATGAGTTGGTGAAGTTTCTGAGTTTCAAGTATACAATAAATGAGCCTGTCACAGAAGTGGAAATTCTGAAGAGTGTTGTCAAACCTTACGACGACTACTATATGATGATCTTCAAGCATGCCTGTGAATGCATGGAAGTGTTCTATGCCATTGAAGTAAAGGAAGTGGATGCTTTCAACCACTCCTACATGCTCCTGAAAATGCTTGACCTCACCTATGATGGCAAGTTGAGCAATGACGAGGGCATACCCAAGACGGGCCTCCTGATGCTTACCCTTGGTGTAATCTTTATGGAGGGCAACCGTGCCACTGAGAAGAAGATCTTGGAGGTGCTGAATACAGTTGGTGTGTATCCTGATCAGCATGAGTTTATATGCAGGAATCCCAGAAAGTTTGTCACTGAAGAGTTGGTTTTAGAGAATTACCTGGTGTACCAGTTAGTACCCCACAGTGATCCTCCATCCTATGAGTTCCTGTGGGGCCCAAGAGCCAATGCTGAAACAAGCAAGATGAAAGCCCTGCAGTTCTTCTCCCAGGTTGCTGGGAGTAGCCCTACTTCCTTCACAGCTTTGTATAAGGAAGCTCTGCAAGATGAAGTGGAGAATGCCCAGGCTCTACTGGCCTCCGTAACCAATATTAATGTCCCGGACAATTATGGTTCTGGGAACAAGTCCAGCACTGTCTCCCACCCTGAATAAATTCAGGCTGGTTCTTCACACCATGTTTAAGGAAAACAGAAGAAATGTTAGTGTCTTTTTCCCTTTTGTGCTGTTACGGATGTTTCTCTTTAGAAAGTTTTCTTAGCTTCAGAGTCTAGATTCACTAATTGTATTGCTCACACATTTGTTGCTGCATGTTGGATTTCAAATTAAGAATTTTGCTATTATAGAAAGCAAATGGAGAACATTTTCAGCTTTGAGACCAAATAGCAGTGCAAATGAACTTGCTTTAGAAATGTTAAGTATTTCAGTAGTAAAATATGATCAGTAAGTGTAAGAAAGGTATAAAAACATGGTTAATACTGCTATTCTTGTTACTCTGCTTTGTAAAACTAAAGATATGCACCTCACTTACTTGGTTTAGTCAAGAATGAGAAATTAGAGTTTAATAAAGTACACTGCTGCAAATAGTCTCTCTTTTTTTTGGAAGGCATTTTTATAGTAGTGGAAATTCAAAAATCAGTGAGGAATATGATGAAGCATTGTGAAAAACAAAGAGTTAAGTAAAATGACATCATCATGTGTAAATGCTCTGAGCCAAGGCATTTTGGGGGCTCTGGGAAACCACAGATCTTTCTGTGAGTACTAACCTTCTGTTAAGGTACATAAGGGTGGGAAGCAGATGTTCATACAATGTGTGACATGTGAAAAGAAAAACTTGGAATGAAAAAATGCTCAGAGAACCTTTTGAACTATGGATAAATAAGAAATGAATCTCCACTGAGGGAGGGGGCAGGGCAGTTACAGGAGTTGGCTTGAACTCTTGTTCCCATACAATTGTACATAATGGATTGCCTAAGTGTTGTATACACAGCACCTTCGGGCATTTCTGGGAAATCTGATGGTACTGCCTTGATTTGGTGGCTAGAATTATCTAGAATGCAGTCTTTTCCCTGGTCTAGGAGAAACCACTCAACTATAAGGTCATTCATAATTAGGTGATCTTGATTTCTGTTTGGTCAACTCTAAGCAAAGATTACATAATTAGTTGCGTTTAAATGAATTAAAATAATTATTTGACTGAAAGGTAAACTTTACAGGACTAAAGTCCTGTGAACTCTATACGGCTTAGGGAAATTTCCTCATAAATAGGTTTAAATAATACATATATGACTAATAGGAAAATATTACTAGTTTTTGAAAAGTCACATTTGTTATAAGTGAACTCTTCACTACACAAATATGCCTACTAGTTTGTATATATTCCACATACCCTGAAATTCTGCAAGATGGCTTAAATGTTTTTTTACAAGCGACCTCTTAAGACTCATAGCACGTGGCAGTTTGCTCAAGATACATGGCAAGTGATCTTGGGCAAGTGGCAAGTCTGAGAGTTAATTCCTGGTTTGAGAATTCAAGATATCTACCTCATCCAAGTATTACCATTTCGTTTCACCCCATCATTTTGTAAAATTACAGCACACTTCCCATGGTAAGCCTGTATCCCTCAGGTCTACTTGAAGCTGTCCTGCTGAAAGTAACCATAACCTCTTTTGAAAGTTATATCCTTTTTGAAGTGGAACAACCCATATTAACTCCCTGACATAGCACAGTTCCAGTACTCATTGAAGGGTTCTGGATATACCACCCCTTATCTGGAATCTCTCTGATCCAATAGCTCAATGGGTGGAGCACTTTGGAAAATGGTTTGATGCCTGGTCATACCCACTGAGCCCCTTTAACATACTCTCAAATTACTTTAGAAATGGATGTGAGTAGTTTGATAAGGAGGGAATAAAGGAGGAAAATGAGAGACATTGAAATTAACAAGGACTAAAGCGGTTTTACCCTGCAGAGACTGATAAACCAAGGACAATGCATGGTAAGGACCTTAAACCCTGGCTCAAATGTAGCCTATAGATTCAGTCTCCAAGTGGGTTCCCTAATAAGGCGAGCAGGGTCTTTCTCTGTCATGAACTCAGTGGGAGGCTCTCTGATCACCTTCTCCTGGGGTGTGTGTGCAGCATTGCCAGGCCACAGAGGAAGACAATACAACCATTCCTGATGAGATCTCATAAGCTAGGGTCAGAGGGAAGAGGAGGAGGTCCTCCCTTATCAGTGGACTAGGGGCGGGGCATAGAGGGAGAAGAGGGAGAGAGGGTGGGATTCAGAGATGAGGAAGGGGACACAGCTGAGATACAAACTGAATAAATTGTAATAAATGATAATAAAAAAAAGAGATAGGGAGCCAGGGATGACTGACATAGACTCAGAACCTAGGCTATCAAGTCTCATCAGGGATAGCTGCATCATCTTCCTCTGTGGCCTAGCAAGGCTGCACCCCACAGGGGAAGGTGATCAAAGAGGTGGCCACTAAGTTCATGTCAGAAACAGCCCCTGCCCCCCTAGGGAAGTGGATTTCCTTAAAAACACTTTTTAAAAAGACACATTTGGAGCTCCTGACCCCTCCAGGTCTTCGTATCTCCCCCTTCTTTCATAAGAAACCATGTTCGTAGCAGCTATATTTTCAATAGCTAGAAGCTGGAAACAACCCAGATGTCCCTCAGTGGAGGAATGGATACAGAAATTGTGGTACATTTACACAATGGGATAGTACTCAGCAATTAAAAAAAAATCATGAAATTTGCAGGCAAATGCTAAAAATGATCATCCTGAGTGAGGTATCCCAGAAGCAGAAAGACACATGTGGTATATACTCACTTACAAGTGGATATTAGACGTATATTATAGGATAAACATACTAAAATCTGTACACCTAAGGAATCTAATCAAGAAGGAGGACCCTGGTAAGATTCTCAATCTTACCAGAAAAGCAAATGAGATGGAAATCAGAAGTGGGAAGAAATGGAACAGGACAGGAGCCTATCACAGGGGGCCTCTGAAAGACTCTACCCTGCAGGGTATCAAAAACATATGCTGAGACTCATAGTCAAAATTTGGGCAGAGTGCAGGGAATCTTATGAAAGAAGAGGAACAGGAACTTCACAAAGGGGAACAACAGAACCAAAAAAAAAAAAAAATCTGGGCATGGGTCTTTTCTGAGACTGATATTCCAAACAAGGACCATGCACGGAAATAACTTAGAACCCCTGCACAGATGCAGCCCATGGCAGCTCAGTGTCCAAGGTTCTTCCCCAATAATACGAACAGGGACCACTTCTAACATGAACTCATGGATTGGCTCTTTGATCACCACCACCTGAGGGGGGATCAGCCTTACCAGTCCACAGAGGAAGACCAGTCCTGATAAGACCTGATAGACTAGGGTCACTTGGAAGGGGAGGAGGACCTCCCCTATCATTGGACTGGGGGAAGGGCATAGGAGAAGAAGAGGGAGGGAGGGTGAGATTGGGAGGGAATGGTGGAGGGGCTCCAGCTGGGATATAAAGTGAATAAACTGTAATTGATAAAAATAAAATAAAAATTAAAAAAAAGAATCCAAGCATTCTGCCCAAAGTTTTGCTATGAGTCTCAGCTTCTGCTTTGATACCTCAATTAGTAGGAGATAGCAGCTTCAAAAGGAGACCAACAGAGCCATAAAAACTGAGCTCTGGCAGTCCTGAAGTAGATGATACCCCAACCAAGGACAATACATGGAGAGGACCTAAAGCCCTGGTCAGTTGTAACCCATAGTCTCAGTCTCTAAGTGGGGACCCCAGTAAGGGGAACAGGGGCTGTCTCTGGCATGAACTCAGTGACAGGCTCTCTGATCACCTCCCCCTGGGGGATGCAGCCTTGCCAGGAAACAGAGGAAGATGATGCAACCTATCCTTATGAGACCTGATAGGCGATGGTCAAATAGAAGGGGAGGAGGACCGTAGGGGGAGAAGAGAGAAGGAGGGTGGGATTGGGAGGAGACATTTAGGGGGCACAGCAGGATACAAATTAAATAAACTAATAAATGATAATAATAAAAAAGGAAAAATTAGTCAAAAAAGAAAAGAGAAAATTAAATGAAAAAAGATACATTTGCTCTTTCTTTGGTGCTCACGTGAGCCCTGTGGAAGAGGAGACAGAACATGTACAAGAGACAAAGGGAATGTAGGACACCAAGAGACCAAGGTTCTCTGAATCAACTAAGCAAGGTGCATATGAGCTCACAGAGACTGAAGCGGCAAGCCACAGGTCCTACATGGTCTGCACCAGGTCCTCTCCATATATATTATAGCTATTAGCGTAGTATTTTGGGGGACCTGAGACTGTGAGAACAAGTGGGTCCTCTGACCCTTGGCCCTCTCTTTCTCCTGTTGGGTTGCTGTGTTCAATTTTCATATGATAGTTCTTGTTTAATCTTTTATTTTGTCATTTTTGGTTATTATTTCTTAGGAATCTGTTGTTTTCTAGTGAAATATAGAAAGGAAGTAAATCCAGAGGGAAGGGGAATTGTGGAAGTACTGGGAGGAGTTGAGGGATGGGAAATAGTTATTAGGATATATTGTATATAAAAAAATATGTTTAATCAAAGGAAAAAGGGTACACTATTTTAAGTAGGTCACTGACCAAATACACAGATGAATGGGCTTCCCTAGATGGTTGAAAACTAAAGCCTCTTGTACAAGTGACAAGAAAGATCAGAGAACATATATTGGAAGCCAAACCTCCTTTTTCCCCCAGGGGACACTTTCTTTTTTTATTTTTGTAATATTAGTTACAGTTTGTTAAATTTGTATCCCTGATGTATCTCACTCCCTCTTTCCCTTCCAATCCCACCCTCCCTCCCTCATCTCCTCCCTTCCCCTTTTCAAGTCCTCTGATAGGGGAGGACCTCTTCCCCTTTCAAATCTCTTAACACCCTAGGGGACACTCTATCTCTAGTGAGGAAAGGAAATAAAGTTTAGCCATGGCTTCTTCTCTGTGTTCTCTCACCACAAAAATCTTGAAAACTGGAGATGCAACTCAGTGATACACAAGCACAAAGCTCAAGGCTCAGTACTACACCAGAAGAATATAGAAAAAATCTTGGCTCCCAATTTACCCAAAGTTACCTGTACCCTGTAGCATATGTGGATTCTATTGCT